TATATATGTAGTTCATGATAAAGCATTGTTTCATTATTTAAGTAGCACTTAGCCTTTCAATTAGTTTTTTTTTTTTTTGGTCTTGTTGACTTCATAGATATTGGCAATTGAATCAATTACATATTTGAACTTTATTGAATGATCAATGAATCTAGAACTTGCATGTTCTTGTTATTTGAACAAGTAAAACAAAAGTCCAAGACTTAATGCCTATAGGTTTTCAATTATTAAGAACTAAAGATCATAATAAAAGCATTTCATTTCCCATCTTATAAATGCCTATCATCATTTACCACAAGACCTTTGATGATTTTAATGTATCGAAAAACCATAACAGTTAAGTCTATATATTTGTAATTTTGATGGATGGAGTTATGGGAAAAATCTCGAAGTTGATTTGCTAATAAATTAACCAATCGGTAGAGATAAAATCACTTAAAACATGTCAAAGTCACTAATTTCATTAAATTTCATAATGCACCAAATTAGTTACAATTCTTGAATGCCATTACACAACTATATCATGTTTAGAAAAACCAAAATGGTCGACTTCACAATGCTTGCTTCATTTAAATATCACAAGAAATTGTTTAATGGTTTAAAAGTTTTACATAAAATTTTCCATAAGTAGTTTGAGACTAGACATCAAACATTGGTAAATAGTCTTCAATAGTAACATAGCAGATCAAACACCTTTTATAGTTCTCATAGTAAGTGCTAAAATGCAAATTAGTAGGAAAAGAGCATGATTAATAACTAATAAAATTAGGTTCCATTTTGATGTGGTTGAATAAATTTTTTTTTATCTTTTTTTGTAACTAAGTTTTATAATATATAAATGTGGTTGATAATGAAGTGAGAATTCATGGAATTGGAGATGTAATAATTGATCTCTTGCACATGGTTATTGGGAGGGAAGCGGAATGTATAACATCTTATTTATCTATGTTACCTATAGGTTGTTATTAATGGCTTTCTTGGTTAAAAAAAATTCATATTTTAATAATTACAAAAATTGAGTAAAACCATCATACATAGTATGTCTTTCAAAATATGTAAACATTTGTATTTTGCATGTAACCAAGTGATGCTGTACAAGTGATGCTATACAAGTGATGATGTTATGAAGCACACTTTAGTTTATTGAACTAATTATGCTTCAGATGTAGACATGAGCATGATGTTTCTCTAGCTTTTCATCTCTTTACACTAATAGACTCCAATAAACCTTCACCAACTTTTGTACCATAAGCTATTGTGGTTGCATCAACTAACATGTTTTCTCTAATTCAAGTTATGAGGTGCCATTTTATTGTATGAGTTATGGAATATTTAGCATATTTATATGGAACTTAGTGTTAAGCTTTTGTAGATTTTATATAATGATTCAAATGTCACTCACATTGTTTTTCTTCTTATACTTAATATATCATGCTTACTACTCTTCGTTACTTTCCTTAAGTGGCTTAAATGTTTTTCACTCTTAGTTTTATTATTTACTAGTATCCTTCATTTTGTTATGGATTATGATGCTATTTATTGTCTATTTAAATACATTGGGCTTATAAATTTTGTATGGTCAATTTTACATTTTGAATTCTACATATTAGCGATGCATGGGTAAGATATAAAAGTTTATTTCAATTGTTGATAAATGCATTTATATAGACATAAGTGTTTAATGCTTATTGCATGTTCATACATATGCATGTATGTATTATATAAAGTTGGATTGTGATTCAATTTGTGTTCTTTATGTAAGAATGGTTTTGGTGTCTAGTAGTTTTGGTTGTATTCATATTTTCATTGCTTAATTTATGATTTTTTTAACTAAAAAGAGCATTATGTGTGAAAAAGGATTGATACCCTCTTGAAGTAATCAATCCCATTTCAATAGAATATTTTTTAAGTTGAGAAAACCATTTTGTGTCAAAGAAGTAAGCGGATCGATCCTCTTTCATTTTAGAAAAAAATTTTATCGACGAAGTTCAAGTTATTAGTGATGAAAATTTCATTGCTAAAATCTTTTATTGATAGATATTTTCCAGCGTTAGTAACTTTTATCAACAAATTTTTTAATTAAATTCAATGAATATAAAAATACTTTTAGTGACAAAATTATATAAATTATCAATAAAATTTTCGTTGGGAAAAGTATTTTATGTATAAATTATTTTTGTCACTAAATGTTTGAGTGATGGAGTATTTCATCGTTTCATGTTTTAATGATGGAATATTTTGCTGCTAAAAGTTACTCTATTACTAATTGAAATTTTTTTTTTTCTGATGGAATACTTTTAACAACCTCATAGTTTTCTACAGACTTTTGCCATAGAATTTTTATCGTTAAAAATTTTAGCAATAGAAATCAAACTTTTAGCAATGAAAATTTCTATTTTCTTCTAGTGAATGTTGTAAATTAAGATAATTGAAATTATATTGTTGGTTGTAGTTTTGAGAATATGCTTTACATCTTCAAATTTTATATTTATACCTAAAAATTTGACAAAGAAAACATAAAAATCTTGCTACTTCATAACTTTAACCATTATCAGCTTCCTTTTTTCTTTCATACTACTTCTAATCATTAGTGAAAACTATTTCAGACATTGCTTTCCATTTCATGCAATTGTTGATGAATGTTCGTTTTCAGCTATTATTGAATTTTTTTTACCTGTAGATCAAGTTTCTTTATGCCTTAATATAGCCACTTCAAGTGAAAGATGGAATATCTCTATTGATGCTAAATTTTCTCTAGCACCAAGTCCTATTTAGTAACATCTCATGATATTAGGACTTCTATTATATAAACTCTAGTTGATTCATTGATTTTAATTTTGCCTTTTTTGTTATGTTGAATATTCTTTAGTACAAAATATGTAATTGCCTGAAAATTATCATCATGCTAAATTTTCTCTAATAAAGGTTAATTACAATTAAATCCTACCGTATTATACTTTGTCAGGCTTTTCATTAGTCTAATCCATGTAATTGTGGACTTTTTCTTCTAGTTAAACTTGTAACAACCTAAAAACATTGGCTTTGCATGAATTGAGCTTTAAAATCATATCGAAATTAGACTCTTTTAGGTTTTTTATTAATCTAATCCATGTAATCGTGAACTTTTTTCCATCTAAACTCTTAGCAACCTAAGAAATTGGTTTTTCAAGAATTGAGCTTTAATTGTAATAAATTCTCTTTAATTGATTAATTAATTATTAATTAATCCATTTTAGCACAATTAACATTAACCACCTAAATTAGGTTGGACTTAATTTAGGCTTATGAGGTTAAATTGCTTATCCCAATTCTTAGTGATTATTTTTTGTCTTAATAATAATTAAAGATAGTTATACATCGTTTGTAAAGTTTTTAATTTCACAAATAAGATTAAAATATTATTTATTTTTGTATTTATCATATTAATTTATTAATTATCTTCAATATATTTTAACAAAATATATGATTATTCTCTAATATTGCAAATGAAAATTAAAACTTAAAAATTATAAATGAGATACTATTTCTCCCACAGGTATTAGTTTAGTTGATAAGAGTAAAGATTCAAATTTATCAACTTGAGTTTCATCTTTATAAAATATATTTTGAAATAAAACCTTAAATGCATTAGATAGAGAACATCTTCATACAATTGTCTACAAAAAAAAAAAGTAAAATATAAAAAACTTATAAGCAATGTTTTTATATATTTATTGTCTTTAAATAAATTTTTAATTTGTATTATAATAAATCTTAATTTTAAATAAAAAAATTAATTTTTTTTACATTTAACATAGTTGGATATTTTTATTCACTTAAAAACTCACTTGATTTGATGATGTAGATAAAAATTAAAATAAATAAATAGTTTTTCGATGTCCTTTCATGGCCTTTATAAAATTAAAAATTAAAAAAACTTATTTTAACGATAAATTTTCAAGAAATATTTTTTTGTAATTTTTAATTTTGATTCAGATCATGTTTTATGTAGAAAAAAATTTTAATTGGCTTTGATGGTAACAATTTTCAATTTTTTATTTGCATTATTGATTTATTTGAGTATAAGTTGAAAGTTAACAATTTATTTAAATACAAAATTATATAAGAATTTATCAAAAAATAAAAAATTAAAATGCTCATTTAATACTTTAACAAAAAAAGTTATTCTAAGCAAAGCCAAAAAATTCACTAATCAATTGATAAATTTTTTTGCATAAGTTATTGATGAGTAAAATGATTGAAATATATTTGAAAATTTTAAATATAATGCAACGATATAATATAAAAAATATAAAAATTAAATTTGATAATTTAAAGTATGATATGATGATATAATATAAAAATAATATAAATAAAAAATAATAACACTTAATTTTAAAAAATTATAAATAAATTTAATAAAATAAAAAAAATTATATTTTATATTTTAATATCAATATAAATTATAATATATAATATTTATATAAAATATGATATAAATATAATATTTTATATGATATAATAATATGAATTATTAGATATAATAAAATATATAAATTATATATAAATTTAAAAGTAAAAAATAAAATTTATATTAATATATTAACACATTCAAATTTTTTTATTTTGTTTTACGGACATAAAATACGGAACTGTTGAGCCACTGTAAGTCATGATAACGTTGACGTCGGAGGGACCGAGGCTAGGATCGCGTAGCCATGCCACCGAAGCCTATACGAGCAGACAGCGAAAAACCCTGTCAGGCCTCCACGTACAGAAATTAATTTATTTCCCAACCTAAGATAGACTTCCGAACCTGATATATCTCAGGTATGGAATTATTGTTTTTGGCAACTCCTTTAAAAGTCACCTTACAGCTGTCATATGATTGTTCTATTTTTACTTTGATCTTATTTATTTATTTATTTTTTTTTGCCTTTAGAGTAAACAAAAGTTAGGGTTTCAAAAATTTTTTTCAAAAAAAAAAAAAGATCCCTCTAATCAAAGAGTGTGTCCAAAGAAAAAAAAAACCCTGTTTGTTTGTTTGTTAATTTTTTTTTCATTTATTTTTGGGCTTTGTAGTTTAATTTTGAGATTAAGTTATTTGCTTGATGTTGGGAGATCTAAAGTAAAAAGAAATTGAGTAGTTTTTCTTGTAAAGTTTGGTGTCCATAAACAGTTAAGTTTTCTTAGGTAAAGGTTCTGAATTTGTTTCTACCTGTATTTCAAGCCTTTTCAATTATTTACCCCTTTCTTTATGGGTATAAGTAGGTAATTCCAGTTATGTGTAATTTGAACAAATTCAATGTTTTGCTTGCAATGTTGGTTTTCCTCGGTTTCTTGGAATTGAAAATATTGGATTTTTTTTTAATGCATTATGATTCAATGTTTTTAACATGTTCTGAGGTGTTGTCTATTTTCATTTCTATTTACAGTTTTGGAGATGAATTGTGTAGAGATTGTAGATTTGTCTAGTGATGATGAACTTGGAGAGGTAGATATGAAGCCTGTTAAATTAGAGCCTGGTGCCGTTGGGAGCACGATAAAGCAGCAAAATAACCATAGAGTCCAACCTGTTGAGCTTCTTAAGTCCAAAAACCAACCTAGAAAACAAGTCTCTGAAGAAAATAGAAGCTCAAATAATGGTCAAAGTAGTACTAGTGTTTTGGAACAAGGCCAGTCTCCAGGGGATGACACAGGTGTTTCTTCAACGTCAGCTGTATCACCGGCGCCAATTTGTCGACAATTCTGGAAAGCTGGGAGCTATGAAGGGGGGCTTGGTTCCAAGGTCATGCTACAAAGTATGCAGCTATCAGTTATTTTTGTATTCTTAATGAAATGTGATTTCCTACTTGCTGCTGCTTTTTAACTTCATATTCTGCCATATTTTTACAACAGATAGCAACAATTATCTACATGTGCACCCCTTGTTTCTTCATTCAAATGCCACTTCTCATAAGTGGGCCTTTGGTGGTATGTCTGGCTTTTGCAGTTTGTTTTTTATAGTCACTACTTTTTCTTGAAGTAATGATTATTTTTGCATGTATTACACTAGTATCTTGTTTGTTACTGTTCGCAGCTATCGCTGAACTACTTGACAATGCCATTGATGAGGTAAATTTCAGTTTAATTTGTTGGCTTATTTATTTATTTATTTTTATTTCGGTTCTCCTGTGATGCTGGACCATAATTGTCTTGTTTAATGTTACGCATGCTTGTCCTGAGATTTATCCTTTTGGAAAACTTTATATGATAAAACAGTTATAGAACTAGGATCTAATAACTTAATTATTGTGTCTAATTTGTAGCAATTTGTCTGAAAATTTGCATAGGGTTTGAGAATTTAGTGATAGAACAAGGGCATTGATGTATGTTTACAATTGGGAAGGTAGATCGGGTTATGATTGTTCATGTGGATTGAACTGTAATAAGGAAATTTGAATTTCTTTTGTAACAATCAGTACTTTGAAGTCTTATCAATGGTGATGATTTACTAAACTAGTTCAACTAATATGCCTATAATCATTTAAAGTTGGGAATAAGACCAACTGTATAAGATAAGGCCACAATAAACACCTAATTATCTTAACTAGACTTAAGTTAAGCATCAATGTTTTATTAGGATAGACAATCCTTTATAGAGTTGTATTGAAAATGTAGTTGGCATTTTGAATGACTGAAATTTTAAGCATAGTTGTACTCTGTATCACATTATTATCCTATTAGTGTTGGTGGATAAATGTACAATTATGTAGGTTACTGCAGTGTTTTACCCAATTTGCTATCTTGTCTTGATGAATTATTACTGTTTTGCACTTCACACCTTATTTCTGTCAAATTGGATAGATCCAAAATGGGGCCACTTTTGTCATTGTAGATAAAACATCAAACCCAAGGGATGGGAGTGCAGCTTTGTTAATTCAAGGTATTTTCTTCTTGATTTCATAAAAAATGATATTACACCTTTTCATTTATAATTCAGTTATGTTATTTGTAAAAGTGGTCTACAATCAAATATTTGTAACTTCTACTTTCCAAAACTTGATAATTTTCCTTTAGATGATGGTGGTGGAATGGCCCCTGAAGCAATGCGTCGCTGCATGAGCTTTGGATTTTCAGATAAGAAGTCGAAATCTGCAATTGGACAATGTATTAATCCTGTGTTTTCTTTGGAATATTTGTTAGATCTTTCTTTTTATATTTATCAAAAGAGTTATGGCCTTACAGATGGCAATGGTTTCAAGACTAGTTCTATGAGACTTGGAGCAGATGTGATTGTTTTCAGCCGCCACTTAGACAACAGGTTTAGTTCCTATACTACAATCATTTTCTTCCCTGTGCATTAAAATGTTATTCTTGCTAGTCTTGTTTGTTTGTATATACGTAGACCATTAAAGTTAATTCTTGCATGTATGCTTATAGGATAAATATCATTTTCATAAAATAGTGAAAAATTATTTTTATTAATGGAGCAGACTGCTAGTATTGTGGAAAACTTTTGCAATCATAAGGTTATAAATGTTTTTCTTAGAACACAAGGAGGGAAAGTATTATTTTGATTTTTCTTCATTTTAAAGAATTTATTTTCTTAAATCGATTCTCCAACCCTCATTAAAAAATAGTGAGATATATGGGTTGCATATAAGGGTTCAAATGACTATTTTCTAGCAACTTGAGTTTAAGCTTATGAAAGTCATGTGGATCAAAGTCTGAAAGTTGATGAGCCGGAGGGCTGGGGTTGAGGCATTATTATTTTTATCAATCTATTACAGCATGTGTAATTGAAAGATTGGTAGGTTACGGTGGGAGCTCTTGTGTCCTTGTTTAATCTTGGTTCAGTATATGAGGTGTGGGCCTTGATGAGGAATTAGGTTTTTGCACAGGTAGAGTCTGGAAGCCATCCCACAATAGGAAGAGTGAGATAGATGGTTTGTGTGTAAAGTTCAAGTCATTAATTACCAATAATCCTAATGTAAGCTGTCTTTCATGTGATTCAAGTCGATAAAGTTGTGCATGAGCCTGTGTTACACCCAATAAAGAGAGTTTTTCTTGTATCTTTGGAGTATATGGGGAGTGGAGACCTAGTTCTATGTAATTATGTTTGTATTTACTCACACATGCATTGCTTCTTTTAAATAATGAATTTCCTTTATTCCATGATTAGATCTTTGACTCAAAGCATTGGTCTTCTCTCTTATTCATTCTTGACAAGAACAGGTCATGACAGAATTGTAGTACCTATGGTGAGCATCCTCCTTCCATTTGAGCTTATATTAGTTTCCAATGCCTACTATAAGATCTTTGTTCAAACTGCAGGTGGATTATGAGCTTAATATGTCAAGTGGCAGGTTGGATGTGTTGCATGGTAGAGAACATTTTGCATCTAATCTTTCAATTTTGTTGCAATGGTCTCCATATTCAACAGAAGCTGAGCTTTTGAAGCAAGTAGGCGTTCTTCTTCTTCATCTTCATCTTCATCTTCATCTTCATCTTCATCTTCATCTTCATCTCTAAAAGCTGAGCTTTTATTTTACTTTATTCTTGGAATTGTCAATGATTATAATTGCTGCTAATTGAATTGTTCATCACATTCACATTTGCAAAATTTGGTTAGTTAATTTGGTTCATTGTATATTAGTATTACTTTCCTTTTAGCTATGATATAATCTGCTGGCTACTTTTAAAATTAGTTTTATTTTTTGGAAATATTTTTCTTATAAGGAGAAGGTACCAAAAATCATGTAAAGGTTGTTGTCATCTCAAGAGAAAGCTTGACTACCTAACATAAGTTAAAGATTCTTGATTCTCATGTTCTTTTAAAAAATAAAGAGCAGGAGCAAATTTTCTGTATCCAAGTTGGAGATGGGATTTGAAATGGGTAGAGAGTGGATTTTCTTTAAAGGGATTCTTGAAGAAAGTATATTTTTTTTGCTAGATGAAGTATGAACAAGTTTCTTGCTTTATGATTGGGGAACCTAAGTTCTACGTTAATTAAATGAGAGCATGCTTGATCATGTAAAGAATCCTGGTGACAGAGAAAGAGGTGTATGGATGATCAAAGTTACATGTACAAATGTACTAGCAAAAAAGACTTTAAGAAATATATATTGACAAGGAAATTTATGAAAGCAGTTAAGTGTAGACTAGTTTTATGGGTGGGAGCAAAGGAAAGAGGAAGCAAGAACATATACAAGCTTGGAAAAGTGACAGAATGGAGATCTAAGTGCATAAGAATGAAGACTAAAAATTTGTTATTTTGGATGTTATTGCAATACAACTTGGCGGGAGTTGAGCATTTGAAGGGAAAAATAGGAAAGTACACTCTCTATTGGAAAAGTTGAAAAGTACTTTAGTTAAAATGGTTTTAAGCATGAAGTGTGGAAAAGTAATTTGATCTCATGGCTTCCATTCAAAAAGGTGTGGCAATATATAAGGAAGTTAACATTTTGCTTTACTACCTTGCGTCTTTAAAATTTTGTGGATCAAGAAATTGTTGGATGAGTGGAGAGAGTAATTTTACAAGTTTGTATTAGACAAAGGTGATCGATAAAACTTCTAAGATGTATCAACTTGATGAATTGTGCTATATAAACTCCTAGGATAGCATGGTCAAGGAAAAGTTAATTCTTGAGACCAGTGTCTTGGAGAATAAATTTGGATTTGTGTTATGAATGTTGAGTAAGGAAGCTATTTATCTAGTTCTAATGTTTGATGGAGAGATTAACATATACTTGGTGTTCATTGATTTTGGAGACGAAATGAGTTTGTATTATGATATTTGGGCTATAAAGAACATGTATGTCTAGTAACTGGCATTATGACTATTAGTGGTTGATTGACTACTTTGTAACATTGAAAAGTTTGCACCACGGATAAAATTTTGAGGGTTTATCTTTTTCTCTTGGAATGGATGGATTTCTAGGCATACTCATGACACTACATTGTAGAATATATTTATAGGGCAAAGACCAATGCTAAGCTTGAGTTGTGAACAGAACTCAAGCTTAATATGATATGTGCTTTTTGCTAATCATATAGTTTCGAAGGACAATACTAGAGCAAAAGTTAATGCTAAGCTTTAGTTAAGAAGAGAACTTTCAAGGCAAAAGGTTTCTTATTAAAAACGTTTGGAATAGAGTACAAGGAATACAAGTTTAGCAAAACTAGAAATAGTATTTGGAGTCAAAATTGGAGATTGAAACACCTTGTAGGAAATTTGGATTTTCATTCGAGAAGTTCACTCGTAGGCTCCAAGTGATGGAGCCTATGATACTTAAGTCTATGGATTTGGAAAATAACTCTTAAATTCCAAAGAAAATTTTATAGGATAACAATAAAATTTATAGTACTTTATTGCATTAAATGGACAAAACCTAAATGTTAATGATTATAGTTCGGATCAGAATGCTATAGTTAGAGGTGGCAGTTATGCGTGCTAGGTTTGGTCATTTCAAGGCAAGTCATTCCAAATCTTCTTGGGTCTAGGTTATTTATGTTTTAGATCATCTTAAGTTTAGGTTATTTCAGGTTTGGGTCATTTGGGTTTGGTACTTGAGTTATTTGGGTTCAGGTCCTTTCTTATTCAAGTTAACTTTTAAAGTCAAATTGAATTAATTTGGATTGATCATTTAAATGGAGTAAGATTTTATTCATTGTAAATCATAATTAAGTTATCCAAAGTCACATTTTTGTATCTTGTGGCATATAAACCTTTAATTATTATTTTTTGATATATATAAATAAAAATTTCGGAAAAAAAAAAAACTTCAGATCATATAAAAAGATTAAAACAAATTATTTAGAAGTGATTTGCTAATTTAGAATTATTTTATATTAAAAATTAGCAATTTGCTTTAAAAATTCATTAATTATTTTTGAGTGATGTTTATGTTATCATAATTTCTCTACTTATTATTACTAATTCACCATGATAATAGTAATGTCGTATGACTTATGACTTACAAGGTCAATCATAACTCCAAATGTTAGAAGTTGTGTTAATTAGGTTCTCAAATTTTAAACTTCATTGAGGTAAAAAAACTATTTCAAAATTTGAATATAAATAATATTTAATTATCTTTAGCTACTTTTAAGAGTTAAGGTCTATTAAATGAAGTTTAAATGGTATGTAATAAAATTTTTTTTTTTCTAGTTGACATGAAGGATTCTTTAATCTAGTTCTAGCTCTATTTTAAGTTATTATCTTCTATTACTATCAAATATATACTAAGGTAAATTGTTAGCCTTAAATTGATAGTGATTTTGAAATGACAAACTTTAATTGTGTTTTATGACCTAAATTTGCTTTAGATGTTTTTGTATTTTTCAAACCAAAAATACCTTTTAGAGATTATTTATCTGTTTTAAGTAATTTTGTTTATCTTAGATTCAATATAGTTTTGATACTTTTGGTTTTGAGAAATGGATTAATTAGAGAAAATTGTTTTGTAAGAGCAAGGTTTTTGCAACAATTACTTTGTTTTATTTTCGATATTGATTTGTAAAGTTTCGCTGTTGGATTTGTATATGGTTGGAAAGTTGTTTGAGCCTACTTTGTAATGAGCCAAATGAAATTGAAATCCGAGTTTTCTAAGTAAAGATGTTGCATTTTTGCTAAGAATTGTAGGCAGTCTAACAACTACGCAAGGGGTAATTTTGAAATTTTGTTGTATTTTTTTTACATTGATTCACATGTTTAGCTTTGTATGAATTAAAAGCCCATTAAGTCTAGTTTCTATATTTTCAAATTGATCATTATTTTCGAGTTTTGTAACTCAAGATATGGTCAATTTATTAAGTATTGCGTTAGTAGTATCGATCCCCTTTGGTCAAGAATCGATCCCTTTGGTAGGGGATCAATCCCTTACCTCTGCAACTACTAGATTTTCAAATTTAAAGCCAAAGGATTGATCACTTTCAAGCAAGGATTGATTCCCTATGCCTAGATAGCATAAAACGGTTTCTTTTTTGTTTTAAGCAAATAATGACCTTTTTTACTTCTCAACACACTCCAACAGCTCGAAAGGCTCTCCCATTGTAAATAGGGCCTTTCTAACACCTTTGAAATGTAGAGATATCATCCCAAAAGCATCAAATCAAAAAATTCAAGAGCTTTCAGGTTTTTAGTGCTTCATTTTCATATTCCTTTGTAATTCTTGTACCCGATCTTTGTTAGTATCTGATTGTACTTATTAGGCAACTATCCAACCTTTGAGAGATACACTTGGTTGTAAAATTCAATTATAAAATCTTAGAGGCTGCTATCGAAGCCTTCAAAGGTGGGAATTTAGAGGTTGCTACCTAAACTTAGAAATATAGGGAGTTATAGGTTGTCACCTAAGCCTTGAAGGTAGGGATTGTGAAGGTTATTCTTAAGATTAGAAAAGGTAGCTTGTAAAGATTTAAAGAATAGTGGATTATGTTCCTTGGCAAGAAAGGCTAAGGGAGAGGATGTATGTGCCTTGAGAGAGGACCAAAACTCTAAATCTTTGTGTTTGATTTCCCTATCCCTTATCTTCTATCTAATTCAAGTTGATTGTGTTTTAATTTCATATATATCAATTGAATTGTTACTTTTCCTCTAATTTTCAATCAATACTTATTTTAGGAAAGAATTTGGATTCAATCCAATTCGCTTCCCTTCTTGGATTGCATAGCTATACTTGACCTATCATAAAATATAGTAATTTTAAAAAATATATGCTACAATTAGCTATGTTGAATTATTGTCTATTATTTTTCTAATTTACGGATTACTTTTGTTTTAAAAGTTATTATTTGTTTATTCTAACTATTTATTTTACTATTTCGTAAGAGTGAAGAAAAAGGAAAACTGAAAAAAGAACTTTTATACCCGTAGAAATCAAATTTAATTTTAATAATAGAAAGATTTTGGTTTTATACTTCTTTTTAATCATAATTAAGGATGATAATATCCTAAGTTATATGAAAATTCAAAACTAAAGAGATTCTAAAAGATAATTTGAAGTTATTAAATATTATGACTAGTAGTTAGTGTTATATTTATTATTTTTAAAAGTAAAATTAGATTGTTATATTTATTCTTTTTAAAAATAAAATCAGACTCAATTTAAGTTCGAGTCATGTTGTTTTATTACGGGTTAGTTCAGGTTTAGTTTGAGCGGGTCTAGGTTGTTGAATTTTCTTAGTAAAATGTTTTGGATTGGGTATGGGCGAGTTTCTTGATTAGAGTCAGCTTTGCTATCTCTAGCTCTAATGGATGTATGGTCACCCACATACTGAAAATAATTTGAGTTTATCTTAATGTTGTTATAGTGCCAATGGAGGATAAAATGGAAAGACATGTTAAAGGTGGATGTGGTATGTGAGACAAAGACGTTCAATTATTCTTATAGGTGGTGTTTGGTATTGGGTGATCACTCTTAAAAGCCATGATGAACTGCACAGTGATTAGATCATCGTATTTGATAAGAACTTGAGGATCCTATGTGGTAGTGATTTTAGATCATTGAGAGTAACTAGATTATTGCATTGGAGTATGAGTTAATTCCCATCTAAAAAGTGGAAAACTTTTATCATTGAGGGGAAATGATATATATGTAAAATTAATTGTAGTCAATATTACTCATTTGATGCATAGATTAAAAACTTCCTAACAAAATTGTAATTATTTTATAAGCTTTTATCTTTCAAAATAATATTCATCGTACCAAATTAAAAATCATTTGTATGTTTTCTTTTAACTTTTCTATAAAAGTTAATTTACCTATCAATAGATATATTTGTTAATTTAATAGTTTAGTACACCTTATTATGAAGCAAATAAAATACTACTAATATTTCATAAATTATTGTCTTTAAACAACATTGAAATTGTTAACTTGTTTAATAAGTACAATATGGTTATTTTGTTACCTTAAAGAAAAATCATATTTGATTTTTAATAATACCAACGACAAACACAGTGAGCTTTAATTCTTAAGAATTAATGATTGTTAATGAAACAAGGTTATTTTGAGATGCGATCATTGTAGTAATAATATCACCTTGGAGATTAGATTACAATGGTGATCTTGAAAATGATACCAAACACTATGATAAAAAATCAGACTTAACATAATATGCCTATATCAAAAGGGAAAAAAGAAGACAAAAATGAATATGGATATTAGGGGAAAAAAAAAGAACTTTGTATTTGTTGAATTAAGGATTTTGTCTTAAATAGAGTACCATATGGTGTAAGCAAGTTAAACCTACTTGCTAGCTATTTGAGTCTTTCTTGAAAGTACTTTAATTGAAACGATTTTAGATTTTACTTCAATTTTTTTAGACTTGGCATGACTTGCAAGTCTAATGATGCTTTTTTTTTTTTGGTAATATATTTATAATTGCAAATAATATTTAAATAACCAAGTTTTTGAGCTTGACGCAACTTTGATGTTTGGTATTATTTTGATGAGGCACAAACTTAAGACTTGTGACATGAATTTGATATGATATAGACTAGGTTGGCTCATACTTGATTCAACCCATATAACTGGCCCTACATTTCTAATAGGATTAATGTTACGCATGGCCCTTGAACTATTGAAATATTCGATATGATATTTGAACTTTAAAAGTCTTTACTGTGGTACTTGAATTATGAATCTGTTAATTAATGTAGTATTTGTCTGTAACATGGTTGGCTCTAAATGATAACACATAATGGATAAACAGCCCTCCAAATACCATATTAGTTAACAGATTCATGGTTCAAGTATCACATTAGAGGTTTTTAAAAATCAGGTTTCACATTGAACATTTCACTATGATTCAAGGGCCAGTCGTAATATTAACACTTTCTAGTAAAAGCTTTATGTATTTTTGTTGTTATGATTTTAAAATTATTTTTTTGTATTGGTGTCCATTTAATTTCCTTTAGAATCATAAAAGGGGTGGCCAAGTGCACAGCGATGGCGTAGGTGTGGTGACATTATATAATTAAAATAACTTCTAGAATGACATGTTAATGGTTTTGATAAAATAAAAATTCTACTTCAAACTGAATATTAGTAAATCTATTTTGAATTTATGCAACAACTTGTCTTGAGAAATGGAGAATGGACCAAAAATCTTGCAGCGTAATTTATCTTAATTGACATTTCATGAAATGTTTTGGTCTTTGAAGTTGTTCTAATCTCACCTGCTTCACATGTATCTCCCTCGAATTGCAGTTTGATGACATTGGTTCTCATGGCACAAAAATTATTATCTACAATTTATGGCTCAATAATGATGGGAGTTCAGAGCTAGACTTTGATTCTGATCCAAAGGTTGAAATTTCTTTTTGCATCCTCTTGTCTTTCTGATATATTTGGCTCTATCTTTCAAATGAAATCTTATGATTCTGATTGCAGGATATTCGCATTAGTGGAGAAACCAAAAAAGTTGATACAATTCCTGCTTGGAAAGCTGTAAATGAACAACACATTGCCAGCCGTTATCATCATTCGCTTCGTGTGAGTCTGTAGTTTGTCTATTGTATGTTAAATTAACAAGTAAAAGGATTCATATTTCTTAAAGTTTAATTCTGTCTCAACATACAGGTATATTTGTCCGTCTTGTACTTGCGAATTCCTGAAACTTTCAGGATAATATTGCGAGGAGAAATTGTTGAGCATCATAACATTGCTGATGATCTGAAATATATAGAGTATATCTTGTATAAACCTCAAAGCGGTGGATCTGTAGAGGTACTAGTTTCAAGCATTATCCTTGTTGCTTATCATTGTTTATCTCCATTGGAAACTAATGAACTGCTGTAGTTCCCATTACAATGTTACACCTCAAGTAACCAAAAGTTTTGTTGATGTCCAAATTAACCATCCTCCTTCGTAATTTAACATAATTTAACATGAAATTAACTGTGCTTTCGTCCAGTGGGAACTGCCGATGCAAATTTTATTGGGAGTTGCTTGTGTAAATATGATTGTATTCCATTCATTCCATGATGGTGACTTCCTGAATGTTTCTCTAACTTTATCATGTATTGACATTTCTGCTTTCTGGTTGAATTGCAGGCTGCAGTTGTATCTACAATTGGTTTTCTTAAAGAAGCTCCACAAGTTAATATCCACGGTTTTTGTGTCTACCACAAGAACCGTCTAATTCTGGTAACTGTCATAAAAAATTTTACCCATCTTAAAAAAAAAAAAATACTTACTTTATCATAGCATCCATTAGCAATAAAATGTTTTGTGCCTCGAAGAATTGTTGAGAACATCAGATATTCTTTGTTATCTGATAACCTAAAATAATAATAACTTAATATGAGAAACTTCATAAAATTTTAAAAATAGATTCTGACCTGCAAAAGTGAATAATTGCCCAACTCTTAATCAACCATCCTTTTTTTTTTTCTAAACAAAATGGTCATTTCAGTCTTAATGATGCTCATGCACATTTTGTTTGAACGAGAAAACTGAGAGTTCACTAGGTTCAGGAATATTATATTAATATTTACATTTAGATTTCTATATGCATGTGTCCAGGCCTAGATGTCTTTGAGGAAAGTTTTCTCCTACTTGTGATTTATATTACATGCCTGGATGTCTTCAAGGTGCAGATTTGTTTTCCTGCATACAATTTGTATTACATGTTTTGCTTTCAAGGTGACTATTGTGTGATTCTTAAAGTATTGCCTTTTCCCCCTTCTTTTGCAGCCATTTTGGCAGGTTGTTAGCTATTCAGACAGTCGAGGTAGAGGTGTGGTTGGTAAGAAGCCTACAAATATATTAACCCATTGACATTTATTCCTTTTTCTCCATCATAGGTTAATTCTGTGTAAAATCGTAGTACACACCAAATGATTTATTTTACTCTTTCAGGTGTTTTGGAAGCTAATTTTGTTGAGCCAACTCATAACAAACAAGATTTTGAGAGAACTTCCCTTTTTCAGAAGCTTGAAGGTCGCTTAAAGGAAATGACGTGGGAATATTGGTAATCTATTATTTAATATCTAAATTACATGAAAACTTCATATTTTGTTTCTCCCACTCAAAGTTGCTTCTGCTAGTGCTTTTCTGCCTATCAAATTAGACTTCCAGTTACTCTTGCTCAGATAATGTATTGGTGGGCAATTACCATGGATGTTTATGGAGGAACTGTACATTTTCATGTTTTGGATAAAAAAAGTTATTTACTTTTATTTTCTATTATATTTGAGAAAATATTTTCATTTTCATGCTTTTGTTTGTCTGCAATGGCTCAATTTGATGGTTTGAACAAATTGATTTTGAAGCCTAGATTTTGCCTTCATGTACTGTAGATTGCATATTTGTAATGTGATCCTTGATATCTTTTGATGACCAACTGGCCTTTTCAAGAGGTTGTAGTTCATGTTCTAGCATAGATGTCTGAAGCACGTTACTAAATTCTTGCAGGGATTATCATTGTGGACTAATTGGATATCAGGTCAAGAAAAAGTCTCGACCACCAGCATCTCATGTTCCGTCTCACTTTACAGGACAGAGCAGTGTGCAACACCCTGTTGGGTTGAATCAAACTTCCATGGCTGCTGATAGAGCAAAAGCAGGGCATGTAGATGTTGGTGCGGAGCAATCAATCCCCATCTCTCATGGAAAAAGCATGCAAGGTAAGTGATTATTTTTCTTTTGGTACTAATATGTAGGATTTATTTTTCTTCATGGTGCCTAGTGATTGAACAGGACTGCCTATGAAGAGGAAGGAACCTGGTGATGTAGCAAAACTTGAAAAAGTGAAACGCCAGGCAGGGATTTGTGGCAACACATTTCTACAGGTCTGTAGGGAGATGCTCTCCCAAGTTTCTAGTTTATTAGATTCAAACAGGGAGTTGCGGGTTCATTGCTTAAGCTTGTATGCTAAAACATGCAACTTTTATTTTACTCTTCCATGCTTCAACGGAAAGATAATCCTTTTCACTGCATGCATGCAAATCCTTCCATTTTTCCTGCTTACTGTATGAGTTTGCTGCCCAATTCTGAATGCTATTATATTTAGCTGTTTTATGGGGCAATTGCATAATGGATTCAGTAGTATTTATCAACTCCATCTTTCTTTACATAGATGATAGGAAATTTGATTTTCTTTTGCTTTCTCATAGTAGTATTTATCAGTTCCATTAGCAAAACTGATTCCATTGCTAACCTTCTGTGTTGCTTTTTTTTTTTTTTTTTGTTTTTTCCTCTAGCCTGCCAGTCAAGAAACTCTTAACTTGATGCAAGAAAACAAGAAACTTTCTGCAAAGTAAGTAGAATACTTGTATTTGGTTATCTACATCTTTTACTTGGTGATTTTTCATCTGTATTTTGTGATAACCACTTTGGTCTTTAACTTTAGCTTTGCAATAAACTGGCAGCTGACTACTGGAAGTTTATTTTTTGTGTTTCAGATGCTTGGATTATGAGAAGAGAGTTGAAGAACTGAACTTCAAGGTATTGAACCTTACAGTTAATTTAGGCAGTCTCTGTTGGCCTCTGAAATACTGCTTCATTTAATTGGTGCAGGTGGAAGAGCTTAGAAATGAAGTGGGAGAGGTTCAGCGCGAATATGAACGACTGTTGGCAGAACTGAAGTACTTGGATATTGTAAAAGATGAGAAGGATGTAAAAACGTGAAATTTTCTTCTCATTGTTCGATTCTTTTATTTGTAAAACAATGTTGTTGTATCTCAGTGTATCCAATGATCTCTTTAAGTGTAATCCTTTTAGATGGCTGACATTTGATGTCATACCAGCTTCAGGGTAGGAGCTAAAAAAAAAAAAAAAAGTTTTTTCCATTGCTGACGGAATTCTTTTACATTTTACTAGATAAAAAATAAAATATAAAATTAAGATTTTCCTTCGCAAGAGAGGAGGATAACAGAATAAGAATAGAGATTTTAACGGTTCGTTCATTTATGTTAGGAGTTGGATTTTGGCAATGCTAGCATTCATGCTTGCAAATAATATTTATTCTTAAGCTTATGCTTCTTTTGTAAAAGATTGATGGATAAGTAACAACAACACATTTAATTCGACACGTTTTAAAAATGTGTAATATAATATTTGTATTATCATGCGTCATATAGTAAATATTGATTAACATAGTCACTGGAAGATCATGGTGCGATTAACAACTATGTTGTGGATTCAATGTGTTATAATCAAAAGATCATCGCGTGATTAACAGCAAATCAGAAAATGAGGCGTCATAATCAGTTGTTACATTTCCAATTTGATTACAATGTGGATCCCATGTGTCCACGTGTTGGGTACCAACTTACGCTGTAAGGAGTTTTACCAGGTAAAAAAAAAAAAAAAAAAAAATCAAACTCCTTTATGTCTAAAATTAAAAAATTCAAAATTTTTAAAATAATTTTATTATATTTTGAAAAATAAAATCAAATAAAATATATTTTAATGCATTAAAAATAAAAGAGAATTTTTTAAAGAGATAAATTTTTTATTTTGAAAAATTTTAAAATAAAGTTTTTAAAAATTCTAAAATTCTTTCTTTTTTTCTTTTTTTTTTTTTCTAAATTTTATCCTTTGAAAATTTTAAAATCTTCGAAAAATTAAAAATTAAAAATTTTTAAAAATGTATTTTATTTTTTAAAAATAAAAAACTTAAAAAATTATATTCTTTTTTTTCATTCTTTCTCTATCATCTCCTTTCTGAATTTCCTTCATTCTCTCACCTCCTTCTTATAGTGGTTGTTGCATCTTGTAAATTTTAGATCAGATAAAGTCAGATGAGACCAGATTGGAACGATCTACCAACACCGAATTTGGTTGAATGCTTTGGAGTCCTTTCTTGGATAGAACTTTTCAATTAACACATGTATATTGAGAAATGCTCTTAAATATGGGAAAATTGAATCCAAGTGGTAGTCATAGTGCCTTTAGGATTTTTACTTCAAGTCAAATTTGGAAATCTTACTTCAAGTCAAATTCAGTTCCATCATTACATGCTTGGCCGAAAATTACATGAATTGAGCTTGTCTTACTTTTGCATGATCTCTTGTTCAAAAATGAATAGAAATTCTGCACTAAGTACAAAACCTTGTAGATTAAGAAAACAAAAATTAAAAAAACCAAATTCAACCAAAATTTAAAAATTTTAACCAAATTGAACTTATAAATCTTTATATTTTTAAGTGCTATCACACCCTTACACTTAAACATTTGTTTGTTCTCAAGCAAAAACTCTCAAATTAACATGACTAAAATTCAATATACATGCACACAAAGCTAACAATTGCATAAATTTTCAATCATGCACTATTGTATAATACAAAGATAACTAAAAGCATAGATTCCCAAGAAATTCATTCAAAAAGTAAGCTTTCAATTTCATATAATCTTCATGTATATTAAATTACTACATCTCTAATACATACAAATAATTTAAGCAAAAAGAATGAAAAATATATCATCACATATCAACTCAAAGATAGAACATACTTTATATGTTTACTTTCCTCTTCCCTTTCCACTAACGTTAAACTTACATACTTGACTCAAGATCAAAAGGTCTTATAAGGATTGTAATGTAAGGCTTATGTCAAAGTAGAAAAAAGAAAATTTTAGGCTCATAAACCTTTTTGCTTTTTTTCTTTAATTCTTGGATTAAAGATCAAAAATTTGAGAGCTTTGAACTTTCAAGATGTTGAGACATCTTTAAATTTTTGGCATTTTTTTAACAATTCCATTTTTGGTTTTAGCCATTTTGGCTTTAATTTTTTTGCCAAACTTTTTTTTTTCTTTTTTCCATTCCTTGCATCTCCCTTCCTCCCAAATACAGAAATTTGTCCAAAACAAAAATAAGCAACATTGAGTTAGGGTAAAACAATAAAGGTAACAATTCAAAGAAAAGGCTTAGGCTTATTATTGTGGTTAAATAATCAAAGAAAAGGAGAATATAAAAGCTCAAAATTAAATGTACAAGGGATGTATCATAAAAAGTAGGCTTGAAAAGGCTCAAATTGTCTAAATAATGACTAGATCATCTCTTGAATTAAGTATAGTCTAAAATTTCACCTTGAGGTTCGAGTAGGTAAATTCTAAAGTCACACTATTACTTTAAATCTCTATGCAACTTAATATCCTCAAACTTTTTTACAAAAATTCATGCACCTCATACATCAAGACTAAAAACATACACATAAAAATCATACTAAACCAAAAAGCACATTCAAGAACTTTATGCTCAATTACATTTATACTTCTCTTCATATTATACATAAGTCATTCTTGAATAATTCATGAAAAATTAACTAGGTTTGCATAATAAAGGTTTTAGCATTCCACATTGGTTTTTGAGAACAAAATAATTAGGGAAAAGGTTTCGAAAACAAGTTTAGTTCAAAAAGCATTCTTTTTCCCCCATACTTAGATCAAGCAATATTACAAAAAAAAAAAAAACACTAGAAAAAAGAAATACTCCTCAAATTTGGCTTTAAAGCCAAAATTTGGAATCTTCATGAGGCATTTTTTTGTATCACTTTCATCCCTGTAAGTTCAGAAACACAAAAGAAAATCAAAGCATACATGTCTTAAAATAAAGAAAACAAATACATAAACCATAAAAAGTAAAACTTAAGTATGTAAAACTTGGGTTGCTTCCCAAGCAATGCTAGTTTTGATCAAGCTTAACCATCCCTAAAATTTAAAAATCACCTCATCTTTTTAAGAGAGTTTTCTTTGCTACATTTTCCTTTACGATTTTACATAGATTAAGTTAGATCTAGGAGGTTTAGTTACTTTTCTTATAGGAATGACATAAGTTGGACTTGAATCAATGGTGGGCATCTTCAATTTTGGTTTAGAAGTTTTGGGTTTGGGTTTGCAAGAGCGAGGACTTAATGGTTTTGCTAAGTGGATTTGTGACAATGGGCTAAGAGATTTAGAAATCAAGTTCAACTCTCTAGGTTTATCCTTTTCCTTAATTTTTGTTATTGTTTAGACATCTTTTTCATCTTTAAAGACACCATATCCACCAATCATAACTTGCATCTTCTTGTCCTTGAATATAAGGTAAGATTATAATTATATACATCAATCAAGGCTTTGGATGTTGATAGAAAAGGTCTACCTCACAATAAGAGGGCTTCATAATCCTTCATATCTAATACTATAAAATCCACAAAAAAAAACATACTTGTTGATTTTTACCAACACATTCTCCAACATTCCTCAAAGTTTCTTTATAGATCTATTAGCAAACTTAATAATGAAAGTTGAAAGTTTCAGTACACCACATTTTTACTGCATGAAAGTATTCATAGGCATCAGATGTACACTAGATCTAAGATTACAAAAAGCTCATCAAATTTTACATGGCTAATTTTACAAAAGATAATGAAACTCCCTAGATCTTTTTGCTTTATAAGAAGTTGTTGAAGTGTAAGACTATAATTTTTCATAAAAGTGGCCTTCTCTAATTTTTTGAGTAGCACTTTTGGTATAGGTCTTAGTGTTGGTGTTGCTACTTCAAAGGTATGTTTCGTGTGGACATTCTTAGAGTCATTCTTAACCTTTTAAATTCATGATTTTTTTTTTTGCACTTGATTTCCTCCTTCTTAGGTTGAATGCTCTTAAGAAGTGCTCTTTCGACATATAATAACATATTTCCTTCTTTAACTAAACTTTCAATAAACTCCTTATAATCTTCCTCTCAATTATACTCTTCAAGATCTTACTCCATTTCAAAATTCTCTCCCATATCTTTATAGGGTTTAATATTTTCAGGGGCTTCTAAAGCTATGTGATCAAAACTACCCAAAATCTTTTTACCATACCTTAATAGCTCCTCATCATCCATCAGATCATCTTTCCAATATAGTCTACCTCAAGCTACTTAATAAAGTTAGGCAAGTTAACCACCATAAACTTATCCATAATATCATCGTTATTAGACTTATACATACCATCTTGACCATAAAAGTATATAGTATTGCATGTTTCCTTACCTTGTTTTTAGGGTTTGACTCAATATTACTGGCAAGTTTCATAAGGGTTGATTGGATATAGCTTAAGCAAGTTGACCTATTTAGTTTTTCAAGGTTTTTGATTGATGTAGCTTGACTTTGGATGGTTATATTATCAGCTTGCATTAGTTGGGTCAACATCTCTCGAAACTAGTTTTCTTTTCTTGGGTTGGGCTATGGGGTTGTGGGTTTAGGTAAAAATTAGTATTTTAGTTAGTGGGCAGGTGGTTGGGTTGGTTTCAAGAAAAGTTAGGGTCGTTTGTTAGCCTAGGTTATAGGTATTATTATATGAGTTATAGGGAGGCTTGGGCTATTAAGCAAACTAGACCATTTTTATTCTAAAATGGTATCTTTCACTAGTATGGGGTCCATCACATATTTCACAAGACACAAAGGGATTTTGAATGGCATTGATAGGGGTGGTTTGGGATAGGGTTCCTAAAGCTTCAATTTTTTTAGTTAGGTTTAATAATTGTGAATTATGAAAGTAAAAGCATCAAGTTCATATACACTAGTAGTTTTTCTATATACTTTTTTTTCCATACCTTATTGATAATTGTTGGCTACCGTCTCCTCCATTAGTTCATGCACTTCTTTAGTTGTTTTGCTTATAATATCTCCTATAATAGCCAAATCTAATATAGTTCTCATGGATGGAGTGAGACCATTGTAGAATATCTGAATTTGTAGCCACGGAGAAGATTATGATGTGGACATTTTCCTAATAGCTCCTTGAATCTTTTCAAAGTATCATAGAGATT